TCGTCGTGGATGCAGAGGTCGAAGTCAACGGTGCAGTTGTCGGCGTTGTTACTGATGTTGTCATCGATGTGGAGGTCGATGTCGCGCTCGTCGAAGTCGAGGAGGTTGTCAAAGTCGTCGTCGTTGGCCCGTACACGGTCACAGTGACCGGGGATTTGTCAGGCTTGCCTTCGACAGGCACGATCGAGATGACGGGCACCGAGGAGACGCGGACGACAGTATCGGTCACGCGGTAGGTGACGGTTGTAGGCTTCGGCGCCTTCGTGACGGTGACAGTGGCCGAATCGCAGTCGTCGCAGTCGCCATCACCGTTGCTACCGTCGACATTGACGACGGCCCAGGTGGCCTTGGGGTCATCTGCCCTGGCGCGCATGCCGTTGACGACGGGCTGAGCGATGGCCCGCACCGAGAAGCTCAGGAGAAGAGAGTGTGTCAGGCGCATCTTGACGGGGTGGTGATGCAGACAGACTGTTGCAAGTGGGGGCGGGGCACGCGACTTCAAGACTCAGGATCTCAGATGGAAAAGAGACGTGGGAGGATCGTCAGTCGCAAAATCGCTGTCGTGCGCGAGAGTCCAGACAAAAAGTGGAAAGGTCGCAGGAACCGAGTCAAAGGCTGCCATGATGTTAATGTATGGATGCCGGGGTGGGCACTCTTTGGCAGAATTGAAGATGGCTGGCGAGAATCGCATGTTCACGATAGGGTCATAAATGTGGTGGTTGGGAGAGATTTGGCGGGGTTGCAGCCGCTGCACGTCTGGTGCGCATCTGGACGCGCGACACGGCGGGTTGCAGGGGTTGGGGGGCCATCAGGCCACACAATTGGCCAGGACGACGTGGGTGGACCGTGGTGGCCCTGCCTGTCTTACCAGCCACTTGCATTTCCAGCCACCAGGAACTGGTCTCCCATTGGCGCGACCGAACACATGTTCGTCCAAAATGCAGAAGAAGAAAACGCCTCAAGGCCGTGAAACCATGGCATGGCTTTCTGGTTTAGTGTTGAAGATATTTGCATGTGCATGTGAAGTCTTCGAGACAGCGTCTTCAAGTAGTGAACTTATCAGTCGTGTCCAAGAGGCTGAGGTGTGGCTGTACTACGCCAACAGGCAGAACTTATGGGGCACATGTGGCTTCGCAAAATGACGACAGACTTTTTGTCGAGCATGACAAGCTCTCACCTGCTTATGCAAAGCATTTGCTTGGTGAGCTTCGATGAGCTTCGTCCGTCACGCCTCTCGTCCTCCCGCTCGAGTGGGTGGCACAGGGCACCAGGTCGAGACGTGTGGCCTGTTGAGACGTGTGGCCCTGTTGATGGGGTTGATCGCGAGGCGGTGCACTTTATAGGGAGTCTTGGCTGGGAGGACACTGACAGGACAGACAGTGTCGAGAGAGCGCCTGTGCCACTGACGATGACGTTGTGCCACTGCGCCAGTGACACCACTCTTCGCTACACACCTCTGTAGGGCAGGCACCATCCTGGGCAGGCACCTTGGGCAGGCACCTTCATGGACAGCTCAGGGCAGGCGAACCCAACAAAAGACCTCCTGCCTGAACTATTAGCACGGCTCGGCGCACTCCACGCCGCTCGGTCTAAGCCACTGCTGGTTCAGCCTAACCATCACTTGACCACATTCCCAATCTCGCATTCCGCCTCTTGTCCTCGTACCCCTCGTCACCCTAAGCTGCTTTCACTGCCTCTTCGTGCGGCGTAAGCTCGCGTCGCGATTTGCCCCTCCACTCCGACCGACCACACACATCTATAAACCCGACGACCCCTCCATCCGAGCTGACCGCATCAGCCCGAGCTTCAAGTCTCCCCCCGCATTCCGCTGCTCCCGCCTGAAATCCTGCCCCGAAGCTCCCACGACGAGAATCATCCGACACTGCGACACCCCATCAGATCATGTCTGGGTATCCTGGCTACGGCGGCCGTACGTTTTTTCTCCAGTCGCTGCACTGACACGGATGGATCCTGACAGCTTCCAGATCAAGGCTACGGCCAACAGTACCCCCCGCAGCAAGGTGGCTACGGTCAGCAGTATCCCCCTCAGGGCTACCCTCAACACCCTCCGCCAGGCCAGTATGGCGCGCCCCCCGGTCCCCCGCCCGGTCAATACGGCGCACCGCCTCCGGGCCAGTATGGTGCACCACCAGGACCGCCCCCTGGCCAGTACGGAGCACCACCAGGGCCTCCTCCTGGCCAGTACGGCGCCCCGCCCCCCGGCCAGTACGGCGCCCCGCCACCCCAGCATCAACAGTACGGCGCGCCCCCTCCAGGACAATACGGCGCGCCCCCTCCAGGACAGTACGGCGCACCCCCTCCCCAACATCACAGCGGCCCCCCCACGGCACCGTCCATCGGCTACGGCGCCCCTCAGATCATCCAGTGGGATGCTTCACATGACGCTGCTGCGGCACGTCAGGCCATGAAAGGCTTCGGCACCGACGAAAAGGCCCTCATTCGCAGCCTCGCCACCAAGGATCCCCTTCAGATCGACGCCATCAAGACGTCCTTCTCTCGCCAATTCAAGAATCGCAGCCTCGAGGCTGACATCAAGTCGGAGACGAGCGGCTGGTTCGAAAAGGGTCTGATTGCCATCGTACGCGGTCCTCTGCTGACGGACGCTTTCGACATTCGTTCCGCCGTCGATGGGCTTGGCACCAAGGAAGTCGTTCTCAACGACGTCCTCCTCGGCCGCTCCAACGCCGATCTGAAGGCTATCAAGAACTGCTACTGGAGCACGTTCCACCGCAGCATGGAGAAGGATGTCGCGAATGACCTGTCGATGAAGACGAAGCGCCACTTCGAGATTGTCCTCGCCGCCAACCGGGCTGAGGATTCGGTTCCCGTAGTGCCGCAACAGGTCGACCAGGATGTCATGGATATTTATCGCGCGACCGAAGGCAAGATGGGCACCGATGAGCTGGTCGTCTGCAGCATTCTCAGCACACGCAACGATAACCAGATCCGTGCCATCGCCTACGCCTACGAACAGAAGTTCCGCAAGAGCCTCGAAGCCGTCATCAAATCCGAGTTCTCCGGCCACATGCAGGACGCACTGTTGTTCCAGGTGAGGAACGCTGCAGACAGTACATGCACGCCGCCATGCTACTCGAGGACGCCATGGCGGGGATGGGCACCAAGACCACCTGCTCGTGTCGCGCGTGTGAGATTTCACTGGGACCAAAGCACATTGGCCAACGTCAAGGGGCA